TACTTCATCACGCCATGTTTCATGAAGAGGTAGATAGAATTAATGAAGATTAGCCAATTGAACGATACAGGGCAGATATGTTTTTTAAAGTTTAAATTGCTTTTTAGTTATTTTTCATTTTGTATAGTAAACAGAAAAAATGGCGCGTAACGTCATAATCCCGAAGCATGACATGCCGATGTAAAATATCCTTACTCGCAGGCCTAGATCTGAGTACTAAGTCAGCGATAAAAATTATCTAGAGCTAAGTGATGATCTTGTTCATCTACCCTTTTCTGCACCTGTGCCAAGTCAGGAATGAGTTCGTCAGATGAATTCGGCCTGAACAGACGTTCCTGACCACAGATTGCCTCCACCTGCAATATTTCACAATTCTGTATGCAAAATCCTTTCCTTTACACAGAGCAATGCGCCATGATTCCATGTAACAACACATTAACAATAAGCCTACAAGGCAAAAGAAATAAACAGATACCCATCATCCCGAACTGGTAATTATCATTAGAGGAGGTTCCGTGTAATTAACTTGCTCATCGATATGCTAGCTATGTTTTAACCAGCTAAGCCAAAAACATTTTCTCCAGTGACCTTTCTATGACTTTTCCAGTATTGTCAGATTTCACTCTCCTATGACTCGGGCGACGATTTTAGTTGAACATGATCTTTGCACACCCAACAGCTGCCTAAACAAGCCGATTAGGGAAGAAGACCGTCAATGCGGAGTAAACTACCCACTTCATCCAGGCACGCCAGATCACGTATCCAATTTCAAACACTTTTTAGGCTGCACAACATAATAACAGCGCAATTCCAGGATGTTCAAGAACCAATGGCGCGTAGTTGTACGGACTTTAAAAAGACCTGAAACTATGAGACATTTCATAAATACCTGAAGCTTCTCCAGTTTTCTAGACACACAAACCCTGGGACTTTTTGTGTAACTACTCTCATAGATGAAGATTCAGGAGGTTATTGATGAATGCAGAACACAATTTGTACCGTGAACATCTCGATCTCTCTTGCAATGATCATCGTTCACGCATCATCAACAGGTCTAAGCAACGCTTATATAAAACAGTAACATTTATCAGATTTATATCGATGACTATAAGAAGGAGCACTAACATGCACCACACCTCCCAAGCTACAATATCATATACTCAACAGGACTGCATATGATATTAAGAGTAGATGAATAGGAGAAGAGTAATGGACACCCAAGTTTTCATAACCGCGTTTTGCATAAGTTTCAACTTGTAATATATTCTAGTCAATATGTGAATAAATATAACTTCAAATTACCCTGTGTTTCACGTCTATCGATTCTCCCTTAAGTCATATTGAGCAGGCCGACCGAATACCGTGAAAATCATAATGTTTGCTTCAACAAGGAAAGTTCTTGTGAATGACCGACCGGTTTTCAACAGGTTTTTCACAAATGAGCGCATGTTGTTTCTGGCGCAGAAAGCTATTCACAAGAAAGAACGCTGTAAAACTGGGTGTCCATACTCTTCTCTATTATCTACTCTTGATATATATATGCCCCATCCTGCAACACATATATCAGCTTAAGCACACACAGAAAAGTTTACTATTGCATGTTGGAGTGGAAACAACCAGATGTAGCCTATTTTCTGCTCCTGCGTTTCCTACTAGGCACACTCTGAACTTTTGCCCGCCATCGTTGCAAGGCTGCTTTAGTCGTATCAGCAGCGACAGATTATCGCCTGCTGGTGCCGCGCCACCCGGCCAACAGCAATAACAAATGACACCACTGCAGTCAAAACTCATACCACGAACTCTCTCCATGTCAAATCTGTAAGCGATTGCCAGCCGGTATGCCCAACACACCCAGTAGTAATCCCAAATTACAACCACCCGACGAGCGTGCAAGAGACCAGCGAGCGGTTTTTAATAGACTAATCTATCTAGGTACATCATTTACTAGGCCCACATGTAATAACCTGCACTGTAGCGTCAGAAAACAACACGCAGATCCATATTTAGCATCATTTACGTTTCAATTCGAGGGTCCTTGTCGTGTCGTGGAATCAGCTGTAGTGGGTCGGTGATCTAGCGCAGGTAGTGTTTGTTGGTACAGTACATCTCGAAACTGCTTGAACACAGTATTCACTGCAAATGCAAGCAATACATTAGTTACTTCCTGCAAATATGCTCACACTATTCGAAACCGACTCTGCCACCATAAATTTTAATAAACATTTGCAAATTGAATTTAGACCCAGGGTGATAATAGCGAGAAGAACAAAGAGGATGAAAGGAGAGATGGGACAATCGAGTACACGCATTCCATTCGGGAGTAGCATACCCGGTACTTCTTGCTAACCCCAACCACAATCAAGTGGTTGTATGCCAGCATTAGGGCGAGCCGGCGGTACGCCCCCCCCCGCAGTTTTGCAGCCCAGAAGAAAATATAATTATGGTTTTAAACTCCTAAATTGTAGGGATTGAGTCTAGGGTTGAGATAGTGTCGAGTCATCAGAGGCTCAGAATTATTGGGCCCACAGTATGCTGCAGATTGCAGGAAAACTGGCTTAAATATTTCAAAAATTTCTCGGGGAGCATGCCCTAGACCCATAGCGCGTGGCGTGCCCGCGCACCGCAAGTGTTGCCATTTGGCAGCCTAGTGCCCGGACATGTTCGCCCCCCCCGTCTGCCCCCCTGTTTATCCATTTCTGGATATCCCACTGACAATCAAAATATTTTTGTTTGAACACAAAATGTTCTTATTACTTCTACCCCAAGTCACCAATTATTTTCTTCCTTGGAGGGTGGTGTATGGGTGTAGCTGGCTCAATAGGAGTGTGGGCGTTGGGAAGGGGTTCGGAATGGCCGGCCGCACATACTGCGCCGAGCTACGTTATCGCGCCACGTACGCAGGTCAAGGTTGGCACACTGCACGCGGAAACCATCTTTCCTGCCGCAACTATACTTGTACTCTGTTCGCCGTGACCTAACTACTAGTATAAGTGTTTGTTTAGCCAAACTAGTCGTGGGATGGAATTGTGGTTCGGCTGGCGCGCGCAGCTCTGTTGGTAGGAAAAATGGCATACATCATGTTTCTGTAAAGTACAGACTAAGCGTTTTTATACATAACATGTTGGCTGGCGGATTACATATGTGTATTGGTTGGCGGGATAAAGTATGGTGTGTGTTTGTAAACTTCGACATATATGGGTGTGGACTACAATTGACAAACCGTACACCATAGTCTGGCAGGGGCTCCAACATCTCGACGCATTGACGCGTGAGAGCTCACGCCATGTTTGTGACCAATCTCACGCTCTCCACGCGATCTTACCATATCTCACGCACCAGCAAAAAAAATGGCTTTACACTATCTGAAAACAGTCACTCTTAGTATGCACCAAATTGGCGGCAATGAAGTATATAATCGCAAAACCTCCCTACCGCTGGGAAGGCGGGGAAACCCCGCCTCCCATATCACACCCCCGGCTGCCGGTCGCGTTCGCTCCTTCGCATCTCACTCTCAAACCGATATAACCGCTCCAATGTTGGCGCCGCGTGTAGTGTGTGTTCACAATTTTAAATAATATGTTCTGCCAGGCCTGGTTAGTTCATTTATTATTCTTAATATTTTTTATTATTATTTTTGGTATTCGAAAATTTTACTAGTATTCTTAAATTAATAATGTTATTTATTCAGAAAACTCAATTCAATTCCACAGTTTCTGTAATTAATGATTCATTCCAGATGAGAAGACCCGTTTTGAAAAAAGTGCACAGAAGCTTGATGTTACCGTCTTCTATGCACACAGCTATCAAACGCATGCATTAGTCCAAAATTTCAGTAATTTGTACAACAAGGAATTCAAAAAACAAGGCCATGTACCCGAATTAGGACCAACTCTCGGATCGTGTTGATTCATCTCTTTAGCTATGTATTTAACATCCTACTATCTTGCCAAAACACTCGAGTATAGTCAGACATTAGACTCTCACATACAAACACATGTAAAGTTGAATATACTGACGTGTCGTTATAAACACCCGATTTTGGAAAAAAGTAAAAAAAAACAGTTCACGGCTGGAACAGACCTTTGGTTTGCCTTGTGATCAAGGTGAAATAGTCAATGGAACACATGGAAATTATTATACATCATCGCCATCCTTCCCCCCCCCTACACACTGAATTGGTAGTAATATAATATCAAGAGTAGATATAAGGAGAAGCAGTAATTGACACACACCACGTTTTAACAGCGTTTGCATAGTTCCTCCTCCTTCTTCTTCTTTTTCTCCTTGTTATTCTTCTTCTTCCTTTCCCCCTTTCTCTGTATTCTCTCTATATTTTTTATGGTTTACATATTATATCCAGAGCATGTATAATTATCATTTATTATGATCGATATGTACGTGCTCTGGATATACGTGTTCTGGTCTGTGTTGAATATTCTACAGTGGCGACACCTTTTGGAGGAAACATACTATACAATCGCCAATCGCCAATCGGGTTTCTTATGACGTCACCAGTCATGGCGGCTCTCCTCAAGTACAGTCATTTTGGTCGTACAGGTAAATCTTCTCTCGGATTCGTTTAACATGTATAATTATTATATATATTCGCCCAAATTTTCATTAGTCATAGCGTGATGATATTGAACAATTTTACTCGAAAAATATGAGTAATCACATTTCGTATGTAGGTTTGCGAAAACATTTGATTTGCGGGGTCCCAAACTAGGAAGGATTGATCCCAAACTAAGGTTGGCCGTGACTGTGACTGTTTCACACTGTTTCTTACCGACTGTGAGTGAGTGTGACTCATTCAGTCATTGTCACGTTGTGTACACAAGTCAACAGTAGCTGTTATTGTCAGAGTGACACTGTCATAATAATTCATGATAGTGTGTTGTAATCCTTGAACTGTAGATCAAGGATGGTTTAAGTTTGGGACCCCCGCAATATGTTTTCGCCTATGTGCTACATTAATATGGGGTGCTAAACTAGACTTGGGCCATAAGTTCTTGTAAATAAGTTGTGTGTACAACGTGTATTAGTACAAGTACATGTAAGTTTGTACATATCTATGCCTGGACTATGGCAGTGGATATTTAACCGTATACGGCAGAGTATCCACTTCCGCTATTTTACCGTAAAACAACATTTGATTGGCTAGTATATTTATGACATCATCAACATTACGTTTGAATCCCATAAGGTTTAGCTAACTAGAAAACTTTTAGGTTCAAATCCCATTTATTTCTACACATTTGTAGCCCCATTTGGGCTGATAGGGTCTATGTCCCCCAGAGTACTGCCGGAACGTACCCTGGGGGACATAGACCCTAT